AAATGGCATCATGATACTTTCCACTAACAAAAAAAAATATATTACATAGATATAGCCCTCCGTAAAGTGTGGGCTGTACTTGTCAGAACAATTTTTTGTATCTCCTTGAGGCATGAACTTCCAGGAATCCCTTCAATTAGTCTACTGCAATCTTTTCCAACCCGTCCTAGGGCTCCAACTACAACAGGAATTGTTGATGTTCTCATATGCCACATTTTTGAGATTTCTATTTCAAGGTCCTTGTATTTTGACAGCTTTTTGAATATCTTCAAAGATACATTGAAGTCAGCAGGGACTGCCATATCAATAAGAAGGCACTTTTTTATATTATTATTATTATTATTATTATTATTATTATTTCCTTTGATTTCTGTTGTATATACATTTCCTTCCGGGCCTCAACAAGAGACCTAAGTTCAGAAATGAATTTATGGCATTTTCCACTGATCATTAAAAAAAACTATCACATACTATGAATTATAGATAAAGCTCTTCGTAATGTGCGAGCTGCACTGGTTAGTAAATTTTCATGTATTTCTTTAAGGCATGGGCTAATAGGAATCTCTTCAATGAGTCTATCGAAAACTTTTCCAATCCATCCGAGGACTCCAACTACAACTGGAAGTATTGATGTCATCATGTGCCACATTTTTAGATTTTCACTTCAAGATCCTTGTGTTCTGATAGTTTTTTGAAAATCTTCAAAGATACATTATTATTGTTGTTGTTGTTGTTGTTGTTGTTGTTGTTGTTGTTGTTGCTGCCGTTGTTTTGTTTTATTATTATTATTATTATTATTATTATTATTTCCTTTGATTTCTGGCGTTTACACATTTCTTTCCGGGTCCCGCCCGGAGAACTAAGATTAGAAATGGCATCATGACACTTTCTACTCACAAGCCCCCGCCAAAAAAAAAAACAAACACATATTTTACATAGATAAAGCCCCTCGTAAATTGTCAGAACAATTTTTGTATTTCTTTGAGGCATGGGCTTCCAGGAATCTCTTCAATTAGTCTATGGAATCTTTCCAACCAATCCTAGGGCCCCAACTACAACAGAGTGTGTTGATGTTCCCATGTGCCACATATTTGAGATTTCGATTTCAAGGTCCTTGTATTTTGACAGCTTTTTTGAATATCTTCAAAGATGCATTGCAGTCTGCAGGGATTGCCTTGTCAATGAGGAGGCACTTTTTTGTTTGTGGTCTTTATTATTATTATTATTATTATTATTATTATTATTATTATTATTATTATTATAAGAGAAATCAATGATAGAGAAAAGATAAAAAGAAATCAAAATGCCGACCCAAATCAAAGAATAAAATTACAATAAAAATTGAAAGTAGTAGAGTGATAATATTGACAAGACAGAAAGAAAGAAAGAAAGAAAGAAAGAAAGAAAGAAAGAAAGTCATTCTAATGCAACCTATTTTCTTAACATTTGCCACAAATTAAACTTTGTCAATATCTGGTAGTAAATATCAGCAAATTAAGATCACTTCAATTGAAAAAAAAAACAAAAAAATTTAGCTATAGGAAATGTGCCAATTAAATTCCAGGAATATATCTGTGAAAGCAATGTTTTCTTACCAGATCAATATTGATGGATGTTCCCTTTCAAAGAAAACCTTTGTGAAACAATACTCTTCGGAAAACAAAGGTACCATTTCTAGAATGCTGCTTGAAACTCGTTTTCCAGAATACTATTCAGTAGTTACGTGTTGACTTATATAAGAATGCCAGCAAATATTGGCGCTTTCAAATATTTTTCCTTTTGGAAATTGAAAAGAAATCACACAGAGAGGTGGTTAAATTAGCTTAATTTAGTGGATGGCTCATTTATGTAATGAATTTTCAGCACAACCCACTAATTCTTAACCCATCTTGATTGTCATGATGGATTATCCATTTTCCAGGTCAGAGTTCAGATCTTTTCTTGTGAACAGATTTTCAACGCCTCATCTGCACTTCTAAATAAATGTGTTGGTTGATATTTTGTATTTTTCAATATTGTTTTCACATTTATGTGGCTGTAAAGTTATCCCGGAAAACGTGTTCTCAGAAACAATCTCTCAATTTAATATGCTCAATAAACTTCTATGACGACACTAAGACTCAGGTAAAAGTATTAGTAAAACATTTAAACAAACAACAACTCATAAAGAAGCGGGAAATAATTATCAAATCATATAGTAATTATAAATGTGTATTTATTTATATATTTACTGTCCTATATGTAGCAGGGAGGTTGGTAAATCAATATAAGTTAGTATATTTATGAGTGATTACTTCTATTAATCGTTTTTATAATCTATACAAATAAATTATTTATCTGCATTTAGACAAATTAATTCCCGATCAAAATGAAACAGTATTCCAGTTAGTCAGTTCATTTACTACGTTTCTTAGATTTCAGTCTTATTTGTTCAAGTCTTTCATGTGAGGCACTCAGATACCTTTGTCTATTAAGTGATCATCTTGCTTCAATTTGGTCTTGAAACGGTCTTTGTTGTCTTTTTCTTCGTCTTTCTGTTGCTAATAATTTATTCCAAGAGATATTCCCATTTCCCCATTAAACGATATTAAGTAGAAAGTGATTTATATAATACCAAGAGTAATCAATGAATTGTAGGTACCATTGAACATCTAGAACATGAAGAGAACAGATTCAATGGCTTCTATTTTAGCTGCGAATTATTTATTTTGCACTTTATTGACATTGTTCTAGACTTTTATTTCCTTGCATCTCACTGTTAAAATTTGCTAACAATTGCCGACAGTTTTGATGGAACGGTTGCACAAATAATAATAATAATGATAACGAAGCCGAAAAATTTAAAGAATTTCAAGGAGATAAAAAGTGTAAGTAAATGCCAATGCAGCTAGAGAAACGCAGAAGATCATACAAAGGAAGTCAAAAGGAAATGCAATGGACCAGATGCAGAGACGACGACAAAATAAACACCGCCATCTACCCGTGCCAAAGAAGCTGATCCAGTCAAACGTCATGCCTATCAGTGATTGCGTAAGGCAGAATTAAAAGCTGGAATCGAATGACTTACTCATGCTGCACATTGCCAATGTTTACTAACAATAAACTATCAGGAGATTCAGATTCTGTGATGAATATCCAGAAGCAATTGACCATATTGTATCAAGTTGCACGGTTTTAGCACACACTGAACATAAAACTAAAACATAGGGTCAATATCTCCACTGGAAAATACGCAACTCTTTACGGAATGAAAATTGCAAGGAACTGGTATAAACATCATCCAGACCCGGCTGTAGGTATAAAACTTGAAACAATTTTGAGACTTTACAATACACACAGACAGAACAATCAAATTTAATCGCCCAGACATCGTGATCAAAGACCACAAAAACAAGATGTGTTTTCTTATTGACATGGCAGATCCTGCAGATTATGACGGGTCCTTGAAGATCTTCAAAACAATTGTCAACATACAAAGATCTTGAAGTGACACACGAGGATATCAATAATTCCAGTTGTAATTAGGTCCCTTTGGATTCTTCGCTAAAGGTTCCGATGAACTCATTGAAGGGATTCCTGGAAGTCTATGCCTTAATGAAACACTAGAAGTTGTGCTCACAATTACAGCACACGCATTACGACGAGCTTTATCCGCGTGTGATCTTAGAATATCAAAAGAAGCAAACAGATATATGGATCAAATACATAGTAGCCCTAAAATATGTGAACTGCCTACTAACTAAATATGCGAACTCACATTACGCGTCGTTTTCCCTGCAGCTAATGATTACAATTATTTTTCTGATTGCATGACACCTTGTTTGTATCTTCTGATACAAAAACTGCTTGTCTCTTGAAGTATATGGTTGAAATTTTCTGAGTAACCCGTACGACTCGGAGCAAAAATAAAAGCAAAACACAACAACAACAACAACAATAATAATCATAATAATAATAATAATAATAATAATAATAATAATAATAATAATAACGATAATAATAATAATGACGATAACAATAATAATAATTTGAAATCGATATTGATGATAATAGTCTGACTGATCATGATACATGATGTTAACATTTTTTTTAAACTGGCATTTTAAGAGAGACAGTAAAAGAAAAAAGCGTTTGATTTTTTCTGGTCAAACTACAGTGCTGTTTTGTTGATTTTCTCTCAGATCTGAAACGACGCCAATTTAAATTATAGACGACAGTAAAAAAAAAAAAAATCAGCGGCAAATAAAGCACAACAATTGGAAATAATCGTACATAAAGAAAAGAAAATGAAGTATGAACAGCAAACAAACACCCCTTTTCTCAACAATAAAAGATAACATCATATATAGAAAGAAAAACAGAATGTCATACGCTCTTGTTCAAGAGAGAGAGACAGTGAAATGATGAAAAGTATAGAGTAATAAACAATAAAATTTTTAGCTGAATTTTTCATATAAATAAAATAAAACAGGCATAAAAACAGAGTGAGCTATAAAAAAATAATTAATTCAATTATGAAAAGTTTTAACAGTTTTTAATTGTGTTACTTGACTTGCCTCCAAGCTTATTCATAAACATCCTCGTCTCGGGTTACGATAGTAATTTTATTTTCTTAACATGAAAGCGTTTTTCTTTTCGTTCATTTTCCTTTTTTCACTCTGTCTCACTTTCTCTCTCTGCGTCTCTTTCTCTCTCTCTCTCTTTCTCTCTCTCTCCCCCTCTCTCTCTCTCTCACTCTCTCTCTCCCTCTCTCTCACTCTCTCTCTCTCTCACTCTCTCTCTCACTCTCTCTCTCCCCTCTCTCTCTCTCTCTCTCTCTCCATCTCTCTCCCTCTCTCTCTCTCTCACTCTCACTCTCTCTCTCTCTCTTCGCGTCAACATTTTTCATGTTGTTATTTTGTAGCATCTTCATTGATTTCCTTTGCATAATTTTCATTTTATGTCGCTGTTTTATTCCGCAAATATTTTTATTATTTGCGTCTAATATCACGTAAATTAATTTAGCAAATAGACACACGAGCACGCAGCACGCACAGATAGATAGATAGATAGATAGATAGATAGATAGATAGATAGATAGATAGATAGATAGATAGATAGATAGATATTAATCTGACATGAGACTTAATTAGTGAGTCATCTATCAGGAATATATGGCAAACACAAATAGATCAGATAGATAGGAAGGAAGGGTGGAAGTAGCTAGGTAGCAAGATAGATAGATAGATAGATAGATAGATAGATAGATAGATAGATAGATATAGAATAAGCCCACCTTAATCTGACATCAGACTAAATTAGTGATTAATCTATCAGGAACTTATGGATGGCACAAACAGATCAGAGTGTGATATGCGTGTATGCATTGAAGAATAAATTTGTTGCGGTAATTATATTTGTGTTTATATAGAAAATACGTGTGCCCTGGTGTATTTTCCCGTAAAAATTATTGCGGACACTAATTTGAGTCCGAGTAATAAAATGCTAACACAAATCAGTATGTAAAACAATAACAATGTACGTATTAATAAAAGTATACAAAAACATTTAAAGACTAACTACATATAAAACATTTAAACTAGATAATCTGTTTGTATGAACGTGTGTAGAAGAAGGCCGAAAGAAAAGTAAGATTTTGAAAGTGAAATGAACTTTCCCCAAGAGGGTCAGATTTTTTTTACAAGCGGCTACATCTGATAGAAAGAGTTGTAGAAAGATGAAAGAGAATGACTGTGAAAATATCGTTACCTATTGATAGACTTAAGGAGCGTCCCCTAGCGACATTTTTTTTTTTTTGGTAAAGTCAAGTGGGGTAACCCACAAGATGTCACTCAAGAGGGGGGAGAATTTTATTCTACCCATATGTCCATAAAGTTTACGTATGTTTGTTTTGTTCCTCGTAGGCTGAAAAGAAAAAAAAAAGAGTCGAATAGTATAGATAATCTTGGAGGACAAAATTTTAATAGAAGCTTCGACTTGTAAATTTACTGAGCTGATGCTGGTGAAATTGCAACCGAGTGTCGAAAGCATGTTTTGTGAGAACTTTTAAAGATATCTGGTATTATTGTCAATTTTTCTCGGAAATGCAGCTATCTCCGTGTATTATTAAATCAAACTTGCAGATGCCTGTGTTCATATCTTTGAAGTGTGAAAGATCAGTGGGTCGACTTGGAAAAATTTCACATATTTTTCTGTTGCGCTATGGAGAAACAGTGTTGTTTAATGGAGTTGACTTCCGGGGAGGCTGGGTGGTATTTTCTCATGTGATCCGCGTAGGTTTAGTTGTGAATTCTGGACGGTATTCGTGAAGAGAATGAGTTGTGTTTTTCGTGGTTTAAACTTGTAAGACGAAAGACGCATTTTTCGTTTTTGTCATGTCGGCCGGTGGAGGTCAGAAGTCAGGCGTTATTTTGCCTAAGGGAAAGAAACTTTTAAGTAAAGGCGAGTAGAGATGAAATGAGTTTTACTCGCCTGTGAGCGTAGTAGTAATTGCAAATGTTTTTAGGGATTTTTTAGTTCGTTTGCGTTGGAAAAAATATTTGCTGACTTAGAGAACATCTTGTCCAAATAGTTATGTCGTATGGATATGTTTTAGAGTTTGGAAATTTACGATTTTGCCCGTTGACATCGTGTTTAATCGCAAATTTATAAGAGTATATTTTTCGTGTGCGCGTGCGTGGTATGTTTGGTAGATTGGTTGAATTACTTTCTTTTTACTGTCACTCGGTTTTGAAAAGTGTCTATAATTGAGTTCGTTTATATAGTTTTGTACGTTTTTATGTCCAGGAGAAAAATATCACCTTCTGGTCTCAAATTATGTTGGAGGTGACAAAAATAATGAATATGAAAGAAGAAAATATTTAAATAATAATTACATAGAAATCATTTAAACTAGAGAATGTGCGTTTGTGTGTATGAAGTCTGTGTAAGAAGGCCGAGTGAAAAGTAATACATTGAAAGTGACGTGTCTCAGTGGGGATTTGTTTCACGTGCGGTTACATTTTACAGCCGAAGTTGTACAAATTGGAAAGCGGATAAGGGGGAGAATATCATAGGCTTAAGGAGCGTCCCTTAGCGGCGGTTGTTTAGTAAAGTGGAGTAACTCACATTTACACAATAATATCAATAGTCTTCGAGGTTGGATTTCTACTTCATACATTGTTGTGACCAAGTAACTGGCTAAATAACAACACAAACCAGGTCTGTATATTAAACAGTAAGTACACCAGAAGAGTATTACACAACTAGTAAGAATGTATCGAATGAACTAGCTCTGAATATATTCACTGTTCCTCGGAGTTTTCTGCCCTTCTAATCTTATAGTAGGCGGAAGAGTCTAACATAGATTCTTTAAAGGGAGGACACCACAACAAGCATAGATAGGGATATATGTATGGATAGGAAGGAAGGAAGGAAGGAAGGAAGGAAGGAAGGAAGGAAAGAGATAGATAGATAGATGTAAATCTTGCTGGGGTGAGAAAAATCTCATTAAAAAAATACACTTTTAGATACAAAATATTAGAGATGTCCTGAAAGTCATACTAAATAAACATTCATCAGAAATACGTTATTGATACTTGATGGTGATATCTGATGTAAATGAGATATTTTTTTATCAACATTAGAAGATAAAGTCCCTTATACCTCGCTAGATAGATAGATAGATAGATAGATAGATAGATAGATAGATAGATAGGAAGGAAGGATGGAATAGAGAGATAGATAGATAGACAGACAGACAGACAGATAAACAGACGCAGAGAGAGATGCATTAGAAGGTAGAGAGGAAGGAGATAGATAGATAGGAACAAAGTAATTAAAGGAGATAGATAGATAGATAGATAGATAGATAGATAGATAGATAGGCATATGAATCAACACTGCATGATGACCGGCTTAATTAGACTATCACCAATATTGCACTCTCTTTCACGTAAATATAGCAAATTCAAACAAAGTATCCACGTGCGCGTGATTGTATGTGTGTACAAGTATATGAGATAAAGTATATTTAAAAAGCATGAATTAAACTTCCATAATCTCCATTAAATCATTTTTTTAAACAACACAATGCACAAATGGAGTAAATAAAATATTATGTTGTAAATATTAAATAAATGACATATCCATAAATAACTTAATATTAACACGAAACTAAAAAATAGTAAGGCAAAGGGCGTGTATCCGACTCCGCTCAGCGACCTGAATCTCCAGAGTGGCCGACTCATAGGCCTGCCCAATAAATATGGACACACGGTCTCATAATCGATTGAGGCATGCAACTGAGACTGACAATGCAGTGATATTTCCTATGTCCCCGTACACTATTCAAATATATAGATATATATATGTAATTTATTCGAAAATTATAACACACATACATATATATATATATATATAATTAACGAAAATCTTGGTAAACTGTATGGATAATCCCAAGGAGGATGAAATCCTGAGAGCTCAATGTTAAATCAGAGCGAATAATTTAATTTAAAGACAAACAGACCACGTTAAGTCTCCATTAGTTATAATTTATTTCACCAGAGAATTTTATTTTTCTCTGGATCTTCAGACTTCACTTTCAAAGGTGAAAAGGAAAAATGAATATAAAATTGACACATTTGAAAGTCAGTGTAAAGCTAATATAAATGGAGACATAGAGGGTGGTTAGGAATTTAGAGATGGAAGGGAGAGTTTTAAAATTTATTTTTATTACAATATTAATATACTTATATACATATATTAATATAATATATATATATATATATATATATATATATATATATATATATATATATATATATATATATATATATATATATACAGAGAGAGAGAGAGAGAGAGAGAGAGCAGTGTAATGGTTAGCAAGCTTGTCTCGATAGAATTACGACTGAGTAGTGAGTTCGAACCTTATTGGATGCCCCATAATTTCGGTCTTGGAAAATCACTATGTGCGTGTGCGCGGACGAAAATTAAGATGTATAAGATGTCTACAAGTATAAACATTCAGCTAATAATTCGAGCCTGACAGCAATATAATGCATTATTTCTTAACCGGTGAGCTAATAGAACTGGTATTACAATGCACCGATGGCTATTAGTCCACTTCTATTATATACTTACTGTGTATATAAGAACTCATACGAGTGAGTGAAAATTCTGCTGTATTTACTTAATGAATTCTACCTGTGACATTACTGCTTACATTACTGCTTACGTAAACAGCTAAAAATTCCCAGGATGAAATAACCACTCAACTGAAAATAGACACAACAGCGCGATCAAAACGTCATTAGAACAACTAAGAAGAAATCAAAATACAGTGTGGTCCGTAAATTTTGTCACCGCCTACTAAAACCTAATGAGAACAATAGAAGAACAAGTAAGACAGTAAATACAAAGCACAAGTACTGCATTCAGTTTATTCACTTTCATTGATGCTGTTACACATCGGAGACATCGATATGAAGAGCATCATTTTTCGTAACACAAAAAGATGCATCATGTCCTGTGTGATATTTTACGAAAATACTTTGTTGATTGTTGCAATGGCTCTCCGAACGGCGCTCTTCAACTCATGGTTAATCTGGTATCGTCTCTTCACTTGCAAGCAGCCTCTCTTTCAGTTTGTAGAAGCTCGTGCCAGCCATCAGAAACCGCAAATTATATTATGTAGAGGTGACAAGACTTTCGGATCAAACGGTACTGCAAAACGCGGACATATCTTTAGAACCATTTATATGATAACTCATTCTTCTGTGCAACTTACGAACAGGGCTCAAATTTCATGACTCGCATACCTCCTACGGAATATAGCAAAAAAAAGCGAGAAGAAAGGACTAAGTATAAACCACAAAAAGACAGAATGCATGGTTATCAAAAAAAGGATGAGCCCAAAATGCAAATTACAGCTCGTAGATATTAAATCAAACAGGTACAGAAATCTAGTTATCTGGAAAGTGTTCTGATAGAGGATAGAAAATGAGACACTGAGATCCAAAGTTGTACTGGGATGACCAAAAGCTAAGTAGAGTATTAAGAGACAGAAAAAATTCGTTGGAAACAACGAGTACTGAACTGTTACGTGATATGTCTTACTGAAAAATCTCCTCAAAGATGAGGAAGAGACTTTAAGCAATAAAAACGTGTTTCTCCAGAAAGAGGCTAAGGATATCATGAGTCGCAGATGTGAGCAACAACGAGGTTCTGAATAGACTGGAAACAAAAAGGAAACTTATACTTAATATCAAGAAGAGACAATTTAAATTTCCGGTGCATTGAAGAAGGGGAATTTGGAAAATCTGAAACTGACAAGACAGATTGAAGGAAAGAGGAAAGCAAGCGTAACGTAGTTGATGGCATAACAGGGTTTGGGAGAAAAAAACAAAAAAGATAAAACTTATTGAGGGACAAGAAGATGTGGAGGGCCATGATATCCTAAGTTCTGAATGGACACAGAACATAAAATAAAAACATATACGCATGAACTGATTTAGTTTTCGAACACACATATGTTGAAATCCACAGGAGAGTACATTATACATATATATATATATATAGATAGATAGATAGATAGATAGAGAGAGAGAGAGAGAGAGAGAGAGAGAGAGAGAGAGAAAAGAGAGAAGGAGAGTTTAATTCGTTACCTCTTCGTCACCGATGTACGGCAATTGGTATGACGTTTGTGTCGTATCGTAACTGCCCGTGTTTCAATTCTCGGTATTGGATGCGCACTGCTGATGAGTCCCAAATATCGGACGAAACGGCCGTCCAGTGCTTTCCGCATTCTGTTGAGGTTACTTCTAGACTCGATGAATTAATTAATTATGATTATCTCAAATCTTCCTAATAATTTCTATCACTTATATATATATATATATATATATATATATATATATATATATATATATAAGGTATAAAATATCCAGAATCCACTTTTTAAAACGTATGAGAATAATTACATATACAAACTACTAACACCCCAACCCGAGAGAATTAACAGAATAATGGGAGAGTTCCAGAATATTTATTCTAAGATGTTTGATTATTACTCTTAGTAACTAAACAACTGACGGAAAATTTCAAGATAAACACGATCACCATCATATTAAACACGTTTCCGTAGCCTGTCATTTACGCTGACTGCGTTTCATTTCGTTTGGATGCGTTGATTACCAATACAGCTGCTTTTCCCACGACAAGCGACGTTTGTACAAACAATTATAATTTTTATAGATTTTTTCATATTTCTTTTTATTCGTATGCAATTTCTAATCTTAAATTGTAGAAAACAAACATACTGACATGGTCAAACACTTTTCTTTCCTTAAATCCAGGTCTTCTCTAATTGTTATTAATAATAATAATACTTAATATTGATAGTGGTAAAGGCAAGGCATGTACAAGTTTAGGTCTCCAGCATCAAACGAACATAAATTATTTTATATTATTTTTATTCTTTGTTATTTTTTATGTCATATTTTTGTTTTCAAAGACATTTTTTTGAAAGAATGCGCTTGAATTCTAATTCTTTTGCGTCTTTCTTTTCATTTCTTATTCAGATGTATGGTTAACATTCGGGCCGATTTTCAAAAGGATTATTACGAACAATTTCATGCCACCCTCACAGTCATATAAGACTGGGCTTCACTTATTTTTACCCCGACGTCACTTCCTTAGCGTGCTACTCCCTCAAGTAATAAAAATAATAATAATTACAACAACAACAATTTTAGTACTAAAGATAATAATCCTTGACTATAATTGGCTACAGATCAAACAATGCATTTAATGTTGAAATGTGGATCAACGTAATAAATTTAATTCCAGTTTTGTTTATTCTTATCAGTAACAGCTTAAAGTAAAGCCTATCAACGAGACAAGTGATATTATATTGTTGCGGCATTTCTCAAGAAATATATATATATATATATATATATCCATGCCATATTCGTAGAATTAGTATTTGCTAGTCATATTATATATTTCCTGAATTTCTATGCATTTATGCTGCCATTCAGACAAAATGAGAATCCTATCTTATAAGATTGATTACTATTGTGAATCACTGAATACTCCGAGGAGTTTTTCGATTCTTTCTAATTGTTAACACACGTCAAATGAGAATTTTATACTCAGGCGCACGTATTAGATAGATAGATAGATAGATAGATAGATAGGACGGGTATAAGGAATTGACTAAGCAATTGGATATGTAAAAAGAAAGTTGAATAGATAGATAAATGATATATATTTATGAATTTATTACTAAATACGAGAACTATGTTGATAGCTAGCTGTAAACATAGCTAGAAATTCATCCGTGTAAATAGATACATTCACTCCAGGCTAGGTAAGACATAACGTGCCGAATAATGATTAAAAAGACGCCACCTGACGTTTGCAAATGTGGAGGGCCTAAGCGCTGAGTGATCACGGTACATAAAAGAAAAAGTATTCATTGAGTAGGTTTACAAAAATGTGGGAATTTATTTTCAAATTTTATTTTAACTCACACTTTCGTAATTCATGTTGTATTTAAGTGAAGAATCTTAAAGCACGCATCTAACTTTATCAATACTACGGTCCGGATATATATATATATATATATATATATATATATATATATATAATAATAATAATAATAATAATAATAATAATAATGGACTCTCCCGTCGGTTTCGACGTATGAGGAGGATCTGACAGCTTATTGATTCAGTTATGAAATTGTGTACGATAATTTTCAGTGGCATTTAAGACCCGCTAGTGATTTACAAAGGAGGCCACATATGGAGCAACAGTGAGGAATGTGAGTTGAAATTACTGTTAGATTGGCTGACCTTTTAGATCTTGCTCTCGCTTATTGAATA